CAATACAGTACATGGACTGCTAATTAGCAGTACAAATTAGCACAAAATGAGCACAAAATTATAGTAAAAAAAAATTTTGAAAATATCGATGTTGACACTCAAGCGTGAAGTTGGAGTGTCGTCAGAGAAAGTTGAATTACTTATTAACCTGATGAGCACAAAATTTTAAATTAGAAGCACAAATTAGCACAAAATGAGCACAAAATTATAGTAAAAGAAATTTTTGAAAATATCAATGTTGACACTCCAGCGTGAAGTTGGAGTGTCATCAGAAAAAGTTGAATTACTCATTAAGCTGATGAGCACAAAATTTTAAATTATCAGCACAAATTAGCACAAAATTATAGTAAAAGAAAATTTTGAAAATATCAATGTTGACACTCCAGCCTGAAGTTGGAGTGTCATCAGAGAAAGTTGAATTACTCATTAAGCTGATGAGCACAAAATTTTAAATTAGCAGCACAAATTAGCACAAAATGAGCACAAAATTATGAGATACATGGGACTTAATTCCTTTCAAGTCGACACTCCAACTTCACGGATCCGACCCTGTCGCATATTCATTTGAAAGGTACAACGGCTTTTTAGGTACCTACACAATTAAACTCTTTTTTAAAAATAATATAAAAAACTAAACATTTTACATTTTGACTACTAACAAGAATTAACCACAAAACTGTGGACTAAATTAAAATTTTAAAATCTCAAGTTATATATAGCAATTTTAAAGCATTGGACACTGAAGGTTAATTATTCGAAATGGAGAAAAAGCTGTAGTGAATTTGCCCCTGGAAAATTCGCACTCGGAAAACTCGTTTTCAGGAGATGTTCCTATGAAAATTTAATACCGGTTAATTCGTCCCAGAAAACATACCCCAGTACATTTGCTCCCGAAAATTTACCTTCAGAATATTCGCCCCTCAGGAGGAAGATTCGTTCCCGGAAAATTCGCCCTTTGAATGGCCCTCCTCGTTAGATTCGTCCCCGGTAAGTTCGTCCTTGTAATAGTCGCACACGGATTATCCATTGCGTTCAAGAAAACCTCCGGACTTTTGCCTCCAAGAACATCCCAGAGCACTTGCTCCCAAAAGGTTTGCTAAAAAATTAGCATTAAATCTTATACTTCCGAAAAGTAACGTCACTATAGATTTATGAGTTCTCGTAAGAATTGTAGGTACTGTGCAGCATTACTTAACCAATCCCTGGTCAAAAATAAGGGCGAAAATCAATTTTACTGGCACATTTTGTAATAATTGCAAAAATTTGTAGACAGCGACTTTTCGAAGAATTTACCGTGTGGCGAATATTTCGGGCAAATTTTCGGAGGCGAATTTACCTAGGTGAATTTTTCGGAACGAATCTTTCTACAATCTCTTTCGCCTTCACACAAAAATTAAGAAATTATCTCAATGGTGAGTCTCCTTCGCAACAATATTTTCTTTTTAGCGCATTTTTTAAGAATGAAAAAAAAAGTGATATTGTTTGCGTTTTGTCCGTCCGTCCGTCCGGACCCACTTCAACTTGAACTACTTCTAGGAGAATGATCCTAGAGTGGAATTTTTTGCAGTAGATAGCCTATACCTTGAAGGTATGCCAGACGGCCATCAAATTTCGCTGTGTAAAAGGGGGGCTCCCCCACGAATTATTTCCTGAGATGCTGTTTTTGAAAGTAAAACGTGCATAGCTTTTACATACAACAACCAATTGGTCTTAGATTTTGCATACGCATGCCTTTACTGGTGATAAGTTAAACTTTAGGAAATGAGGGGGGGTAAACACATGTTCTACCCTTCATGGTATTCTAATGAAAGGTCTCATCGAAATAAATTGGTTTGTACAATCTATAATTTTCCCGTGCGAACGAAAGAAACCGTTTTCTACTAACTACTGTGCCCTTCTTTATCTCTTATACCTCAAGAATGGATTGTCGGAATAGTGTACTCACAAAGGGCGATTGAGACGTCTGCAAGAAATATATTCGTTGGTGATGTCAAAACAAAAGCTATTTCGGTTAAAAAAATGCACAAGAGTTGTGCACAATTTATACTTGTTTTTCTTTTACGGAGAACTTTTATTCGAAGTTTCCTGGATGCATCGCGGGGGGGGGGGCATTCCTAGGAGTACAATTTGGTATGTAAGGGTGATAAAAAAAAGTAACTTTTAAAAACGTTGGCCGCCCCACTTTTTGAAAATTTGGGGGGGGGGGGGGTTACGTACCATGGACCTCTCCCAACTGTATTTTCGGATTTCTGAAAAACGATCATGGCGCAAGAGTTATTATCGGTGGTGCATGTGAGCGCCACAACGGACGTATTCATTTTTAAAATAATAGGACTAGCAAATCTTTAAGTGGGGGGGGGGGGGCAAGTTAACGGACCCAGAATTTTAACAAATCCTCATCTGATTGCTTGCTAATTACGAATACGCTGAAATACTGGATCCAAAGCTGAGCTGTGGGTCCATTGCCTTTAATATGTTTCTCCTCAAATTTAATTTAATTTAAGGTAATCAATTTGGGGGGGCTCATCAAGGAAACCAGCCAAATCCCCGTGACATTTGACTTCTCTACTTCTGTTGGTTAGATTTGGTCAAGTATTTTGTTGGACAATGCCATTGTTGCAAGAAAATATCTTCTTAGGGCTCAAACAAACGCGTGACCCTGGAGCATTTTCCCCATAGAGACGGGAGCGTAGGCGATGCATAGACATTCCTTGAGGCCAGCCATGAAGTTTCCTATGCTGCCCAAAGAGAAGTAGAAAACAAACAAGTAGAACCCACAGAGGCGCACTAAATAGTTGGTTCTGTGATAGTCAAGAGGTGCTGCAATGATTTTTTTTAAATTGACTTTTTGAGAGCGGTTGGTAATTCAAAAATAGTGGTGAGAATAAAAGTGTTGGAGACTTTAGTGAGCTTAGGTGCCTGCTAACGCACTCTACACCTCCAAATAATTCGTTCATTGACTGGACTATAAAGAAATGCTCCAGCGATAAACACGAGAACACTAAAACACTTTGGATAGCAAAATAATAATAAAAAACTTCCGTGAGAGTAGGTATTATAACACTCTTCCGCTTAACTCGAGCTACACAATCACTTTGAATGACATATTAGATACAATCTTTTAGAGCAGCGGTTGCCAACTGTTTCATTTCTCAGGGCCCACAAAACAAAAAATGTTTAATCTAGTATGTATATTTAATAAAATGTTTATTTAATTTAATATTGCATCAAAGAACAGCCAAATTATTTGGTACAGGTAATTTAAGTATTAAAAATAATATTTATTTATTCAATGTAGTCAGTAACTTAGCATTGGCGATCGGCAATTCTTCACGAACCAGTAAGCGGGCCGCCCGCTTGGCGACCCCTGTCTTAGAGTACACCTACACAACTGACTTTCTTCTATATCACATGTATTATTACCAAGACTAAATGTCTTGCAACAAATCACGGTCAACTACCACTATCTGCAATACCTAAACCAAAAGCCGCTACCACCAAAAAAGCAACCATTACTGCCGACCACTAAACAAGCCACGATTCTAGTCCGTCTCTCTATTTAAACAATTTCAAACTCTCCGAACCATCCCTTCCTTCTTATCAATATTACTGCGTCGTCGAATCATTGTGTCTTTTTATCGGCGAAACCAGCTTATCTACAAACTTAATTAGCTCACGCAGCGATAACGCTCTTATCGCAATGACCGGAGACAACTTTAACAAAACATTTCATACAATTCTACTCGAAAAATAAAATAAACAAATTAAAGGCAATTATTCAAATAAAATTACACATCATTTTAATAGATAATTTTAAATAAAATCAACAATTACCTCAAATAATGTCATGATTCACATATAATATATAAAAACTCAACGGGAGCAACATAGTTTTTAGTTGTATGTACACCACATAAAGCATAAAATTGATAATCCGTTGATTGAGGGTTTCTGATTAATGTAATAACATACGTACTTACGGTTCCTGTGGATGGGCTGTATACCTACCGTCAGTTTACCTATTTAAGGTACCTACACTACCCGATCTCTTATTTACTTTTTAATAAAGCATATTGTCAAATTCAAAGAACTCTGTAATCATTTGCCCTTTTGAAAATCAAAATGGTAACCATCAATGAATTATTTTACCATTTTGGCAACGCTTACTACACAAAATTGTTAAAAATTGTTTATTATTTATGTCAGAAAAAAGGCTTGTTATTAATTTTCCCATATATTGTAATAGGATTCTCTGTACTTATACGTATCGTACACGTGTAGAGGTGTCGACGTATCATGTATCATTAGGTATAACGTTTAACGTATAAATTGGGGTCCATTAACAAATATCGATATCCCCTTTAAGAAAATTACCCATCTACAGCCGTTCATTGCTTTATTCACATGGGACATCGTAAATAATACACAATGAATACAATATACGCCGGACATTCCACTTTCTTTTGTAATCAATACTTAATGAAAGCAACCTGACGTTATATTAGCTGTAAAAATTCACCTCTATTCCCATTTGAGGCGATTACAGAAACGAACCCCACCAAATTAATTCACCTCTTCTTTTAGGCAATATTGAACTTGATGCGTAGGTATAGAATCTCCATTTTGTTAATTAACTTTTAATTATTCTAAGGATTAAGCATGAAACTGTCAAAAACTGTTTTCTCAAACCGAACCCCTTGAAGATATCAAAATGTACGCTTAGGTATATATTTTTTTTATTATTGTCATTAGAACTCCCTACTTTTCAAGTCAAACCGCTATCAGGCTAACCTTATAATTGATATTTGTGACGGAGGTCCCCAAGAAATGAAATGGTTCCAGTCCAGTTGCGCTTTATCTCGCCCTAAGATGTCTCCATAAACTCTGATTAGAGAAGGAATGTCGGGGCAATAATAGTATAACAGGAGAGGGTTAATATTTGTGATGAAAAAAAATTAACGCCATTATTACGCTTATATTTTTCATCTTCTTTGTTTCAGGCTTTCTTTTTTTGCTACCAGTTTTCATCTAATGAGTCAAGCTGTTCGGGGACGTGGAAAGAGTCCTTCATCCTTTCGAGTTGTCTAGCAGGTCTGTATCGCGCAACTAATATTCTTTATTTATAGGAACGTAGTTTTCGATTTGGACTAATACCTACTGCAGATACGTTAAGGTACGAAACGTGCTGCAAACGTAAGCTCTAAGATTAGTCATTTTTGCACAGCGTTAGTTAGCACCGCCCAGGATTTTATTTTCTTCCTAAAATTGACGTATAACAGTTGGCCGAATCCCTGTTTTAGATGTGAAACTGTTTAATCTAAAATAATTCCCACATTTATACGGTCAGGTGCTATTGCTATAATCTCCGGAAATGTCAGTACGCGGGTACAAAGCTGTTTTAATTCGCATTTTCAAATATACAATCCGTCACCATATTGGAAGATAAACTTATTTCGTATCCTGTACACATAAGTGTGGTTCGTGTTTGTTAACACCACGCATAAGATTGTCTATTTTGTGTATAGTTTACACAGGCACGATAGTTATGCTAAGATTGATTACAATTTCTTGTTTCTCTCTTACAGCCCTTAATTAAAAGTCCTTTTTTCTGTTTAGACTCTCGAGAGTATTCCCCGGATCTGCGCTCGCCGGATTCCACCAAGGTAAAAGAGTTTCATTTTGTCTGTTTAAATATTGTCTTAATCCAATGATTATGGAAATGACTGAAAAATTCCTAAAATAGTTCATTGCGGGCACCAGTATTTGCTCCGTAATACCGATTTAACTATCTTGAATTTTTGATCGATTACAAACTTTAATACCTATAATAAAATGTATATTAAGATTAATTTTATTAGGGCGGAATAAGGAATCAACATTTTCTGGAACGTCACATAAGCATATTGCATCAGAATGTTTGATCCTTCAACTTTAACTTCATAAAATGGCAGATTAACCTCTATTTTTTATCTAACGGAAAGCAAATGTCACAAAAATAAGTTTTATTATATATTTTTATTGCAGTTCAAGAAGGACTCTAACAAAATCTACAGTATATACGTAATGCATTCTATGCGAGAGACACTGTGGAAAATTCCGAACAGAATTTAGTACCTATACGTGATTCTTTGGCGGAACATACGCAGTCTTCTTAAAGTGGAAAGGAAACAATAATATTCCTCATTCATATGGCTGTAGGAAGATTCAATGTATGTTTACAAACCTTAATGGAAGACTTATACTTATTTACCATAAGCGTTGAATAAATAAAAAAAAATGATCTGCAAAGCTGCATCATTGTTAAACTGTTTTCAAGTTTTTAAGATCTACCTACAAGACACCAAAAGCAGTTTATGAACACCTACTCAATTCTTCTCCTGAGTGCGCTTCTTTTCTACCTACCTAGGCCATATACCTTATTATCTTATCAACACAAAACTTTTGGATCTACTGAAATATAAGATGTCCAAAAACTAAAAATGGTATCACGGACTTTATTTGGTCAATTAGGTAGTATCAAACGCGGCAATGCCGGCTCTTGGGGCAGGAGTCCTAGCCAATTGTTCTTCTACAACTATTTTTACTATGGGTATGTAAATATGTAATACCTATCTGTACATAGAAAAGAAATACCTGCAAGGTGCTCATAGAAAACCTGCACTCCCTAATAAAACTCAATGTTTTTACAAAAATCCACAAACCAGTCGATTTTTATACATCGAATTGTAATGAAAAAAATAATTCTTGCAACTTTTTAGACTGTTCTAGCGGCTGCAAACTCTACAATGGTTCATAACTTGGAAGGGGTCTCCATTAGTTATGCCACCGTTTACTTTTTCCAATTGATTAATTACTTGCCGAGAAATGGCGCTTTAAGGTTTAATAATTATTAAAAGCCCAAAAATGTGTAAACCATCAGAGGTTGAATCGCTGGCACTTAGTTTCCGGCACTGAAAACCTCGATTAACCCATAGCCGTTTTCACCAGTTGATGAATGATTTCTATGGCCCCCCCCCTCCAATTCTAAGAATAGCATGGATTTATCCCACCAGTAAAAATCATTTGAAGGCATATTTTCCTTCAAAATTAAAGAAGTAACTTTTCTCGCATAAAAACTTTTGGGTTGTTTTATTACGTACGTTATTACAATTTTTTAATTTTTTGTGTGGAAAATTAGGTACATAGGTACAGCTTTTAATACCTACCTATACAGTGATATTTATTAAGAAGTAGACATAGAGAGCTTGACTTACGTGTATTCGCAACCAAAATAACATAGTAAAACAAATAAAGATCTGGCTGTCACATAATTATGTAAGTTGAACATTGTTGCTTTGGCTTACCCTCCTTAAACTGTTACCGGCACTATACCAATTGACTAAATATCAACATTTTCTTCAGTTGAACCTACATCGGACACGAACTAAAATAAGAATAGGGAAGCCAAAGCAACAATATTCAAATTAATTAATATGACAGCCAGATCTTTATTTGATTTAAGATCTTATTTTGGTTGCATAAAATTAGGCGCCCTTCAGAAGACAAAAGTAGGCATAGGAAAAAAAATACACATAAATCCATATGTCTACCTCGTAGTAAATATCATTGTATATTACCACTACCTGCCTGCCCGGAAACGCTACAAACAAGACCGTTGCCAAAATTGGTCCAAAATTGACAGTTTAAGGACACCAAGAGTAGAATTCGTTTGATTTTCGAACTGATTGATCGCTTTCAGCTAAATTTTTAATAAATTTTTTCAATATATTTTCACCTTATTTTTAAAACTAAACTACATATAGGTACTTATATTATACATAAATAAAGATGGTATTTCATAAAATGAGGAAAATATTTAGCGGTCTTCTAACATGTTGTCTCGCGTAGGTACATCACCCCCGGTAATCGTATGTCTTTTGCCGCATCAATAATTCTCTCCAAGTATACAAATCTTTGTTCTATAACTCCATCAGGTGCAACCACTGGGAGAACACGAAGGCGACGTTGGATTCAACTTTCGACCCAATAATCTCAATAAGGTTCAACATCGGTGTGTAGGTCCCAACCTTAATAGTGTTGCAGTCGTTGCATTGATATAACTGGTTCAAATCTTAAGTGGCACGGAGGCTATCGTAAACCACCAAATTTCTTCCCAGTGTTTCAGTAGGTAATGATGTCGCCCATACGTTAGCCAAATTTGCGGTAAATGAACCTCTTTGCTGCTCCATTTTTATAACTACTGTTGACGAAATTGCTCAAATTAAATATATGTTGAGTCCACTTGTCGCTGATAGGTGCTGTGTTGCTCTGGACTCGAGGACGCCCTCTTGTTCGATGCCAAAACAAATTTGTTTCGTCGATCCAAACAATTTGTTAGCCTTGCTCTATGTTCTGGTTCAAAGTCTCTACATATTCTGCTCGTTTCCGTTTGTTGTCTTCTGTATTCATGGTGGCTGATTCATAATGTTTTTGTTTTACTGTCCATTCTGCAAGGATTCAACCTAGGATTCAACGCATTTTAAATATGTAACAGGTTCCAGCATGATGGTTGTAACCGAATTACTGCATATCTTGATGGTATTGCAATTTGACAAATTGCACAATTAAGTATCTTTTAAATTCATGATGTTGAACATTTACACTCACTCACTTTATAGTAGGTTATTTTACTTAAGAGTTAACGTTTACGAACCTTGCCCACCAACGCAACGTCAACAAAATCACATCCAGAGGTATTTTGATAATATATTTTTTAAAGGAAATTAACGAATTCTGCATTACTCTGAATAACAATTTACTGCACTATATCTGATAGGTACCTACAGGTACAAGTTACTAAACTACCAAATTTACCACTCTTCTGAATTGCATTTAACTAATCTCAATTACAATTAATGCCTTCTGAAATATAACTCACGCGGTTTCTGAGTTACACTTGAAAATAGGTATATAGTGTTAGTATCTGTCGACATGTTCATATTACAAGATCATGGTGTAATCATTCGGCACTACAGGGGCTGGTGCATCCTCAACGAAGATGGTTTAAAGAATAAGCTCTATCCATCATTGCGTGAAAAACGACCGTAAAAGGGTGTCTTGTGATCTTTCACCAAAATAACGCACCAGTGCATTCGCACGGACAAGGCCCCATAGTTCTCTCGTGAAAACAACGTTTAAGTGATTTCCTATGCTCCCTATACTCACGCCTAACCTGGCACCTAGCGACTGTTTCCCACGACAGGTCCCCGTGCCCCAAAAGTCACCATAGTAGTGCCGATCTTACGTCATGTTCTTATATAGTGATCAAAACGGACTCCTAAAGAAACATCTACGCACTGATGATTGACGGTTTTTTGTGTCAAATAAAATCTCTTGTAAAAACTCGAATAAAAGGAAAAGTGAAAGAAAATCGGATAAACAAAAGCAAAGGATTAAACTGGAAGAAGTTGATAGCGGTTCGGAAAAGAGTTTAGAATCTGAGTTACAAAGTGAACTATATAGAATGATCATTATACCACTGTGAATAATAAATTCTGATAAAGACTGAAAAATTAACAAATTTGTGGGAATTATTATGCCGTTTTTTATAACCAAATGTGGTACCTATATTAGAAAAGAACCTAACGAATATAAACAGTAGTACAAAATGAATTTCCTGAAATAGGAAAACAGGACATTTCTGTGGCCAAAGACTGAAGACTACGATGTGGTACCGAAACAACGGGTCCATTTCAGTTATGAGCGGACAAAATTAGTATCTCTTGATAGGTAAATAGTATTAATTACGTATACAGAGACACCGTTCGCTGTAATTTATTAATAAGTCTTGCTCAATGTTTTTAATAAGAATTTATTAAAGATGTTTATTTGTATTTGAATTTTTTTATTACTTTGTATTGGAATAAATATTGTTTGTTTATTTTGGTATAGTAACTTCATGTACCTATTGAACAAATCAACAATTGTTTATGTAGCTAACTCTTATTTTTTAAACGCCGCACCGCATGTATTTTAAAAACTTAATGTTGATAAAGAGAAATCAATACCTACTTACCTACAACAGATAATTTTAGTAAGGTAAGAATTATGGGGAATTCAGAGCATTAATTTAGGTAAGGAATAAAAAAAAATGTGTAGGGGAATTGAGAGCATTGTTATAAGGTATTAATAGGAAATAAAAAAATTAGGAGGAATTAAGGAATTAAAGGGAAATAAAGGGAATTTTTTTAAGAAAGGTATTGGTGTAGGTACAAATTTTCGCTCGGAGGAAATTTTTGATAAAGTTTGGGTGTTACTTTTTTGCAACATGAGATTGCATCGCCTGTACCTACCTATGGTATTTTAATCTGCCGTAGATGTAAACAAAAATTTTATAAAGAAACGCAACTCATGTAAGCATCACGATGGGAAAAAGTTAGAGGCGTTTTTCGATTCCGGTCATTTGTAAATCTATTTGTTTTAAATTGAATAAAAGATGAACATTGGTTACAATGCCTACATACAAATATATTTAATTATGTAAGTATACCTATACCCTCACGTTTTGACCAAAACGCGCAGACGTGAAGTGTATTTAAAAAAAAGTATTTAAAAATTATCAAATAGGTATTTATAATCATTGGACTGAGACAAATTAATAAATTTTTATTTAGTTAAGTAATCTAAGTTATCTGGATAATGTTGACACACGCGGTAACATAGGTATTAACGCACACCTATAGCATATAAAATCACAAGAACTGTGACTGTTCAATATTACCATTGTATTCTGGATCATGATTTGCTTAAGATTGTTTTGATTCCCTTTACATAATATATGAAGAGGGAGGAACGGATCCTTAAATGTTTGATAGTAATAAAATTTAAAAATGTATGTATATTGGATGGTTTGTATGCCAGAGAAGTGCCGCATTAGGTTATCCAATTTCCATGTGACAGCAAATCGTTCATGGCGGGCATCGGAGCACAACGAATTGAGCTTTCATCCAATATGTAGTTAGTGACGGGCGCCGCACTGCAATATTGGCTCACACCCCCGCGACCAGGGCGGAGATATGCGCCATACTATATATGCACTACCATATTTGATGTGGCTGCGTACTAAATACGAATCCCTAATTGTGTTAGTTTCGATGACGATTTGTCAAGAAGTTACCTAATGCCTTGTAAATGAAGTGGATATCAGGCCCTGCTTTCAGTAACAAAAACTTAAAAAATACGGAGTGATCCGTGATCGACTTACGAGAGCCATTAATTGAAGTATTTATGGTTTATTCATAGATCATTAAATCATAACAATTTGGTCGTTAAAGCAGAACTAGAAGCGATTTGGTCGTGAGAACAATACATTATTATTCTAAAAGCGAAAAGGATATCAGTTATTAATTAGTTAATTATGCACAAAGTTTTGTTAAAATTTGCTAATTTGCGGCACTTTGGGTTTTATTAGTTGAGAAAATGGCGAAAGGACACTTTAAGTGGAAAACTAATTTGGCAAAAAAAATGTAGATATAAATTATTTTCTTGGGCGTGCTCACCGAATCCAAAATTTACTGTAATTCACCCCCAAAAAGGAGAAATAAAAAATTGCATGTCGTATCGCGTATCCTTTTCTTGGAAAGCTCTAGCACTTTACGATATAGAATAAGTTGGTCTGCATTGATACAAAGCTCTTATATCGCGACTGTTCTCGGAGATCGCCGCTAGATCGCACGCGCGTCGCCGATCAAGAGCCGACAGTATTAGGCGCCAGGACTGCGCGACTTCAGTATGCGTCCACAATCTGTACGTTGATGTTAGTAGCGTACGAGTGTGAATATAAGATCGCGAATACATTTCGCGTAAAAAATTCTTAAAAATCAAAAAATTTCGTGACTTCTAGTTGACCACGTAATTTTTAAATTTGAACCGGCAACATTAGAAAAACTATTCGTGGTGGTCTACTGCAGACCCCTCACCGTGAAACACAGTGTCAGGTCGTTTATTGTGACGCGCTTATTGTTAAAAGAAGTCTTTAGTTCCTTTATTGGGGGTTGTCATCTTTATCTTACTGACCCATCATATAAGGGGCAAAAAGCGTTCTTGTACTGTCGTAAAATGGTGGTAAAGGGAAATTGACTAATGCTTCCAACATACATATCTATCAAAATGGTAACTATCAATTAATAAATTAATGAGCCGTTAAATTCCCTTACGTTGTGCAGTTTTGATTTACCTTAGCTGTGATTGATTAGTGTAAAATTCTGTGACTTTTATCAATACTGACAATCTTAAGCAAATTTGGTTGGACATTGAGTGATATTTGCCTAATTAAGGGCGAACTTTAAAAAAAGTTTTATTTGTTTCATAATTGCTGTTACGCATCATCCCTCTTCGGATCTCTACGTGTTTATCCCTTCAACGCTTGGCCCGCAACTGTGTATTCCGCGTGTTTGTGATCCCCGCCACCTCCGATGCTGTGATCCCCTCGCGCGATCATCATCCTCACCATCGCGGACCCCGTGGCGTGCGCCGCGCCCACCCTGTACGACCATGTGCATCCCCCCGGATCCTCCCCAGCCACCGGAGCGGGGACTTCCACCGGGGTGACGTGGTGGTCTATGATGAACGGGGGATTATACGAAGAAAGCCCCCCGCCAGCCCCCCAAACAGCATCGACACCTATCAGCAATAGCGGTATGACAAGTCCAGCTACTGCACCTCCACACGCGGTAACCACATCGGCAACGTCGAGCTCGTCACCTTCCAGCGTTACTAGCAATAGTGGATCTGCAGGTCCATTACACATACCTGCCAAAAGAATAACATCTGGCTATGGGGAGTGTGCGGAACCGAGCGTCATTCGGCATTCGCATCACGGGCAGCCTTGGAATTACTCACCTTCAGATAACCATCACGCGGGAGCAACAGCATTTGAGCCCACTGTCGGTTTAAACCACCACCAGTATGCAAATGCCCCCACGTATTACAATTTAGCTGCCGACCCCACGGGCGGCAGAGACAGTCGAAAAGCCGGTGCTCTGTCGTTTTGGTCCCCAGCTGCCACGGTAGCTGGGGGCGGTACTCCAGAGTATAAATACTCAAGTGTATTAGCAGCGGGACCTAGCGTAGATCCTGCCGTATCTTCCTGTCACCAAAGCTTTTCGTCTTCGTCATGGTGTAACTATTCACCCTATTCCTCAGCTGGCCGGCACCATGTAGACGCTCATCAGCCCGTCCCATACCAGACACCGTCAGATGAGCGCGGGCGAGTGGCCGCGGCTGCTGCCATGGTAGCAGAAAGCGCTGGGTTTGCTCACCCTCACGATGGTGGTTATGGACTAAGAAATTATGGACCGGAACCTGTACCTACCGGACCATACCCACCTCCAGGTTAGTTTATTGCCTTTTAATAATCATATAATTTGAAACACATTTGCGCGTACCTACCAAAAAAATCAAGAAGACAAAATCTTATTAAATGCAGCTGCAGAATGTAACGATAGATGGCATAGGATTTACAAACCTAACGTAAATAGATTGTATCTGGCATAGCTTACGTAACGCACCAACACCAGAAACATTTACTCGGTTTAGAGGGGTCGCGTCAATGGACCCTCGCATAGAGTGGCATGAATGAGGTCAATATTCGATGTAACACTGATGGAATTGGGATTTGCTTTCTTACGTCGCGCTTTAAAATCCAGTTTTTTTCAAATATACATAATAAAGCTATAAATTTATAGCGACATCAATGCACTTTCACTGAAGCTTCGGTGAAAAGTGAAAAAATTAAAAATTAAGCCTGTTTGTATATGCGGCGTGATACATTAAGTGTGCAATTCCCAAAAAAGCCATAAAAGCGATTTTAGGGCTATAAACCAAATTATTTCTATTTATAAAGTATTTTATAGACGTGTAATAATAATTAATCGCTCCTCATTCACATTTTTAAATGACTTCATTGTCTAGGTCAGTTTTATTACATAGTAAAAGTAGAATAGTAAACTGCTGTTTCGCGCGGTGCTACTACATTTGCAACTGCATAACAGTTAAATTTCCTTCTACCGGGAATCTGCACGTTGTACATAAAAATCTGCGGTCTTAAATTCAAATTAACTTCGTACTTTTTATTAATAGCATATTTCGCGTGCGGATCTTATTTACGCGAGCGCTAAAAACGTAGGCATATGTCGGAGATGCAAGTTGCCGCACGGACCCGAATATCGACCCCAACATTACAACAGATGACGTCACTCCGCACTAACGTGACCGAACAGCTGATTGTCACTTGTCACGCATTGGGCTTGTTTTAGGGTTGTGTAAGCTCGGCGAGCACAAGTGGAAATCTGTTGCTGAAGTTTTAAAAATATATCTTAATTTTGTTTCTTATTAGTTGATGTAATTATATAAATTGCCATGATGAAATTTTAAATTAATTAATTATTTGATATTCGATTTCGCACAAACGTATAGAGGTTGGCCAGGTAAAAATGAACAGTCTGAAATTAGCCTTCTAGTTAACTGAGATGATTTTTTATACCTACCTTGCTATCCTTACTAGGTATATGTTTCATAAAATTGTGCCGATTCCTATATTAGCGCCATTTACGGAATAATTTGTTTTGGTGATTTATTTGCAGCACTACTTTACCCTAACGTACATCAAAACTTTTTTAAAATTGCAAATTTTTGACTGCATTGGTACTTGGCAGATATGTAGGTACCTATACCTATAGATATAGGTAACTGTGAAAAGTATCTTTGTGTTGAGTAGGTTCGCTTGGAGATTTATTTCAAATGTGCCTACCTACCTACTATAGCTGCTTTTTAAGCATCATTTTTTACTGCATGACTTTCTGATAACAATTAGGTTACCTGTACTTGGTAGGTATAGCGTATAGGTAACATATTCTTTGAAAACCTCTCAACACACGCGTCCTTGAATAAAGTCAAATAGTTTGACATACTTATACCGTTGAATGTAAAATTTTTCATTCAACGCTTACCTATACCTACCTAATATTTCATAAAGGTACCTTTAGTTAGGTATATAATACCCGAGGTATACCTATGCATACATGAAACTTGGAAGTGAATGTTTTCGTTGAAAACTTTCCTGAATTTTTAGTTATTCAAGATTCTCTTTAATTTTATAATCTTTTTAAAGTCATACAACTTCTGATGGCTGCAGCGGAAGTCGCTTTTAACTTCCTTATTTTAAACCGAAAATGGTTTTCACATTTTAAAAAACGAAGCTTGAAGGTGATAAGTGTATGCGACAAATCAATTGTCAATGTAGACTTTGACAGTCTACTTCTTGTGCTTCCGTTTATCCCGGAAGCGCTTGCGAGTAATGGGTAAATAAAATGCGCATTATTGAAAAAAAAGGTTGCATTTTTGAAAAATCGAGATATCCAAAAAAATAGTGGACAATATCTATGTGATGGATGATAAAATCTGCAATGAAACTTTCTCGGAAATCCAAACATTAAATAATAAGTGGGGCGGTTTAAAATAAAGAAGATAATGGCGACTTGTTGTATGTTGAATGACCTTGACAATATTTTAAATTGAGAGATAATTTCAAATAATCCTGACCTGCAAAAATTCATAATTCTGAATTTTTTCTGTTAACGAAAACTTCTATGTACCATTACAGACCATGTATTATGGGTGTCCCAGATGGCCTGGAATTTGCAGATAATCTAGGCTTGCGCAATAATATACCCTGTGTCCAAGGTAAGGAAGTTCATCATGGGGATTTCCGAAATCATAGACCATACAACGATGGTCAAATTAGGAAAAGTTCCGCAATTAAACAGTTATTACTACGCTTTAAAAAAACCATAAAATTCTGATTATTTCCGATGATATGTCAGAAAAACCAAAATTTGCGGCTTTCGTTTATATATTTTACACAAGCAAAAAGAAAAGTTAGAAACTGTTGGCTACCACGGGATAGTGCACCCGCCCACCACGCCCTAATGGTGCTATTTCTATTTTCCAGGAAACTGGAGCGATAGGTATTCTTACACAATTAGGATGTTATGCTCGGGTGCACCATCCTGTTGAAACCAACATAGTTGCCAATTTTTGTTTTTTTTGCCGTATGTCGTTGTATTCGTAAAAAAATGCTACTCAATACAGTATGTACTTTTTTTACTGACCATATAAAAAAATAAAGTTGATGATTTCTCCGAGACGAAACGTTGTATAGAAAATCTCTCAACGGTGTCTTGTAGAGCTCAAAAAGTGACAATGAGAAAGTATTTTTTTTGTATCTCTTCAAATAACATTACAAAAAAATAAAAACGAAATCGGAAAATTTCGATTTATCTGGCATATCTTAGGAAGTAATCGGAATTTTCTTCTTTAAAACATGCTAATAACTCTAATTGCGCATCTTTTCTCTAATTGGACCATTGTCGTATCTTCTATGGTTTCGGAGATCTCCATGATAGACATCTTGGACATAGATTATCAATATTAGCGGCTATTGATATCGATATTGCTGATTATCGACATTGTCAATTATTGATATTGTCGATTGTCGGATATTGTCGATTGTCGGTATACAGTGTGTCCCAGATCGCGTGGGATTGCATGGGTAACTTTGTTATTATTAAAGATAGAGAATTGGTTAAATGGGCAATGTTTTGCAGTTTTGGATGTTTATTTAAAATTTCCTTATGGAAATTCAAAATGTCGCATAGGTTCGACGTAAATTCAAAAAAACTAAAATTGGTCATTTCCTTGAATGTCTTATATCATCGAAAGTATAAGAGATATAAAAAAAAGTTTTATATAAAAGTGACCGTCTTTGATACGATTAATTTAGAATTGATGTCAAAAAAAATTCAAGATGGCTACTTTTGAGGAACATTTACCAACTTCCTAAAGTTAAATGGGCGCCATATTGGATTTTTAGATTACTTGATAGATTTTTAAATTCTCTTTTCAACGAGCTATTATAACATAAGATTCAAAATAAGATACCAGTTATATTAACGGTTTTTGTATTTTAATCAAGTAGTCTGTGACGAATAAAAAAAAACAAAACAAAATCTATTCGAGGCAACAAAACAGTGAAAATAATTACACCAGATGAAAATAATTACACCGGATGTTTAAAATACTGGCCATTATTAGTGAAACACACTTCAAGAGAGTTCAGTTTAGGCAACGTGTTGCCATTGATGATTATTATTATTATTGTAGTGGTAGCTACTTCCACTTTACTTTTATTTTTTAATTAAGTACTTACTTTTATAATGTAATGTACTGTACATAATTCGTGAATTGTGACCTGAGCAGCCAGTTTGTTGGTAGGTAGCATAAACTAACCCTTCCTTCGAAACATACGTTGTCGAGAAAAATCCTTTAAGGAAGTTTATTGGAGAATTTGTAAATAATGGTGAGCAGTTAAAGATCCATCGAAGATTACCGGTGCAATTACATGACTTCCCTTTATGCCATAAAATACATTAATTTAAAAAAATATTACTTGATTTCAGCGTGAAACTACAACATGTAGGTTTTCCTGTGACGAGTAGTGTTCATAATGTCGATTTGAACACTTCACAGTTAGAAAAATAAGATTCATCTGTCCATATACTCGGACTAGTAAAACTGTTAGTTTCGATATTCTTGTGGATAAACCACCTGTGACCTGGGACAATGCATCAATGGTAATACATTGTGTAAAATAAAGCGAAGTGTCTTGAAATGTCTTTAACTGGATAATGGCATGACTTTTTTCGAGGAGATAGTTTGTAGTTATACCACCATTTGTAGGTATGTAAGTATGGATAATAAGTCAATAAGTGATGTTATAAAAATCAAATTTTTCTAGACCTAATGCTTATATAAAATTTTGGAGGGAGTTGTAATGCCCAAACCCCCCCTCTCATGAGTGCGTCCCTGATTTTTTAAACATCTGATGTAATTATTTTCATTGTTTTGTTGCCTCGAATAGATTTTGTTTTGTTTTTTTTAATTCATCACAGCCTACTTAATTAAAATATAAAAACCGTTGATATAACTGGTACCTTATTTTCAATCTTATGTTATGATGGCTCGTTGAAAAGAGAATGAAAAAATCTATCAAGTAATCTAAAAATCCCATATGGCGCCTATTTAACTTTAGGAAGTTGGTAAATGTTCCTCAAAAGTAGCCATCTTGAATTTTTTTTTGACATCAATTCTAAATTAAACGTATCAAAGACAGGCACTTTTATATAAAACTTTTTTTTATATCTCTTATACTTTCGATGATATAAGACATTCAAGGAAATGACCAATTTTAGTTTTTTTGAATTTACGTCGAACCTATGCGGCATTTTGAATTTCCAAAAGGAAATTTTAAATAAGCATCTAAAACTGCAAAACAT